GGGAATGATAAAGAAGGTTAAGCACTTAAGGGAGGTATTAAGTGCGCAGCCCACCATTAAAAAGGGGAAAACAGAGGCCACGAATGTCATGTCTTTTTCAGACAGAGCTTGGCAAGGATATATTGCCCTCACAACGATGCACTAGTCGTCACTCTCCGCATCAAGGATTACAACGTCAAGCGAATTTTGATTGACCAAGGGAGCTCATGTGAGATAATGTACTACGAAACTTTCAAACAATTGAAACTGGAGGACAAAGACTTGGCACCTGCCGTATCTCCCCTGATCGGATTCAACTCAATGCCAGAGTGGCCAGTTGGCAAGATTATCCTCCCAGTCAGAGTAGGAAGCATGATGAAACAAGTGGAATTCTAGGTATTGAAAGTCCCTTCCACTTACAACATAATCTTGGGGAGGACATGGCTGCACGCCATGCGATCGGTAGCGTCAACCTACCATCAAGTAATGCGGTTCCCCAACGAAGGCGGAGTAATTGAAGAGGTCTATGGAGACCAAATTATATCCAAGTAATGCTTCGTCACAGTAAATGACAGCTGAGCTGCCAAAGGGTTCGTTTAGATGGTGGAAGAACCTGAGAGCAATGAATTGTTTGCGGATGTTGGCAAAGCCGCTGAACAGAAGGCAGTGGAAGACTTGGTACAGGTAAGAATAGATGAAAAGGACCCGAAAAAGTTCTTTTTGCTTGGCTCATCTATGTCTAGCGCCAAGAGAATTAAGGTCATGGAACTGCAAAACTAATCATACAGCGCACTCGCAGATCAGCACTCCATTACGCCGAGATAGTGGCGAAAGAAGTAGGAAACCTTCTAAAAGCAGGAGCTATCAGAGAAGTGCACTATCCCAAGTGGATATCCAACACAATAGTGGTGCCAAAGAAGAATGGAAAATGGCGTGTCCGTGTGGACTACAAAATAGTCAACAAGGCATGCCCAAAGGACAGATTTCCTCTACCACGGATAGACCAACTAGTAGATCTGATGGCAGGACACAACCGTCTTAGCTTTCTTGATGCGTACAAAGGTTACCATCAGATCGCTATGTATGAGCCAGACCAGGAGGTCACATCCTTTACGACACCAAAAGGACTGTATTGTTACAAGGTCATACCCTTTGGCCTTAAGAACGCAAGGGCAACATTCCAGCGGATGATAACCAAGATGTTTGAGCCATTGTTGGGCAGAACAATGGAGGCTTACATCGACGACATGGTGGTCAAGAGTAAGGATGAGAATAACCATCTTAGGGACCTAGGTGAGATGTTTCAGATCCTCAAGAAGCACAAGTTGTGCTTTAATGCATCTAAGTGTGCGTTCGGCGTAGGATCGGGCAAATTCCTAGGCTTTCTGGTGACCAACCGAGGTATAGAAGCAGACCCCTCTCAAATCAAAGCAATTCAGGAACTAGAGAGACCCAACTCAGTAAAAGAAGTACAATATCTCACCGGTATGGCAGCCGCGCTAAACCAGTTCATAAGCCGATCGTCAGACAGATGTCGACCATTTTTTCAAGCATTAAAGGCCAAGTTTGAGTGGGATGAAAAATGCGACCGCGCCCTAGAAAGTTTGAAAGAATACATGTCTTCTCTACCACTGCTAGTGACCCCAATACCTAGAGAAGAATTATTTTGTATCTGGCAGTCTCACAGCACGCAATTAGCGCAGTGTTGGTCCGAGCAAAAGGAATTCAACATCTGCCCATCTTTTATGTCAGCAAGACATTACTGGGTGCAGAAACCAGGTACTTACCATTGAAAAAACTGGCCTTAGCCTTGATGATGGCCTCAAGGAAGTTTTCACACTACTTTCACGCCCACACCATAATCGTCCTCACAGCTTTTCCATTAAAAGCCTTGTTTGAGAGGGCGAACTTTTCTAGGGCGAATCTTCAAGTGGGCAGTAGAGTTGGGACAGTTTGACGTCAAGTTTCAACCCAGAACCGCGATAAAAGCCCAAGCTTTGGCAGACTTTGTCGCAGAATTCACCCCAGGAAGTCATCACGTCTGCCCAGTTGACTTAACGGGTACATCCGAAATAGGGATGGAAAGTGGCGCCGAAATAGCGCAACCCTTAATATAGGACACCCAGCCATATCCCAGGACAGACCAGTGTGAACAAAAGGAGGGAGAAACAAACCATGCTGCACCAAACAAAGACTCATCAACAAATAAAAACTTGGTACAATCAGATAACAAGGGGCAAATAGTAAGTGTGGACTTTAAAGAAAACACCAGCAACACTCAGGACCCCAAGGCATCATCCGATCCCTCTACCTGCTGGAAGCTATTCGTATGAGAAATGTGGAAGCTCTTTGTGGATGGAGCATCCAACAGGCACGGAGCAGGACTCGGTATAGTCCTTATCTCACCAGATGGCCTAGTAGTGGAACAAGCAGTCAACCTTGGCTTCCCAGCATCAAACAACGAAGCGGAGTATGAAGCGCTTCTGGCAGGACTAAAATCAGCACTCTACATAAAGGCCACCGAACTAATGGTTTACAGTGACTCACAGCTAGTGGTAAACCAAATTTCAGGCGACTACGAGCAAAGGATGAAAGGATAGCTAAGTATCAAGAGTTAGTCAGAAAAGAGATCATGAAGTTCGAAGTAGTGCGAATAAAGCAGATTGGCAGAGAAGAAAACAGCAGAGCGGATGAACTAGCAGGCTTTGTTTCAATGGCAGATACATCCATCCCACATCCACTACTGATCGACTTCTTACCCAGACCAAGCATTGAAGAACCTGAAGTAGAAGAAACATGTTGCGCCGAGCTAGGCCCTTCATGGATGGATCCCATTATAACGTTCCTAAAAGACGGCACTTTGCCCGAAGAGAATAAGGAGGCCAACAAGATTAGAGCCATGTCACAACGATTTTGGCTCTCCTCATCAATGGCCTTGTACAAGAAATCCTTCACAGGACCTTACTTGAAGTGCATCCATCGCAGCAAGGTCGAAGCATTCCTGTTCGAGATTCACGAAGGCATATGCGGAAGCCACCAAGGAGGGAGATCATTGGCTTACAGAGCAATTTCGCAGGGATACTGGTGGCCTTACATGCAAGCAGATTCGGAGAAGTATGTCAAGAAGTGCGAGAAATGTCAGAAGTTCGCACATCAAATTCATCAGCCAGCCAGAGAGCTTCTACCTTTAACTAGCCCATGGCCCTTCGCAATGTGGGGCTTGGACATAGTAGGACCACTTCCAACAGCACCCGGCAACAGAAAGTTTTTCCTTGTAGCAACAGACTACTTCACAAAATAGGTGGAAGCAGAAGCGCTAGCATCAATAAAGAAGAAAGATATAAAGAAGTTTGTCTGGCAGAATATCATCACTCGGTTTAGCATACCCAAGGCGTTGATATCAAATAACGGCACCCAGTTCGACGGCAAAATTTTTAGAGGCTTTTGTGAGGAGTACAAGACAGAATTCTACAACTCTACACCAGCATACCTCCAAGCAAATGACCAGGCAGAAGCATCAAACAAGGTTATCTTGGACGGATTGAAGAAAAGGTTAGAGAAAGCAAAAGGAAAATGGGCTGAAGAGCTTCCTCGTGTTTTATGGGTTTACCGTATCACACCTCGACGATCAACGGGAGAAACACCATTCTCCTTAACCTACGGCATGGAAGCAGTAATCCCACTGGAAGTTGGCCTCCCCATCATTTGAAGCGAAAATTTTGATCCAGACTTAAATGGAGAAGCCATCACTTTAGAGCTCGACCTTACAGAAGAAAGAAGAAAAAGAGCACTAGTTCACATCGCTTCATACCAACAGGAGTTGTCCAGAAAGTATAACAAAACAGTACATCCAAGACAATTCAAAATCAGAGATTGGGTACTGCGCAAAGTGATGGGCAACACCTTACTACCCGGAGATGGCAAGTTAGGACCCAATTAGGAAGGACCTTACAAAGTGGTTGGATTAGCTGGTAAAGGGGCATACCACTTGGAGGATGAGGACGGCAAAGCCATTCTTAGGCCATGGAACACTGTCAATCTCAAACTATTTTATTTTTAGCTTTTCATTCAAATATTTGTAATTTTTTTTCTTTCTCAATAAAACAAGTAGTTTCTTTTCAGTATAGTTGTTTCCTTCTGTAAAAGATTATTTTAGTGAGTTAGGTACACTGTAAGCATAGTTGGCCGGAATAACCAACTTTGCGCTCTCTTCAGCTAAGATTAGGATCAGTGCTGAAAAAGTTGGCTGGAATAACCAACACCCCTCCTAAGCCCAAGATAAGGATCCAGGCTGCAGGACGTTTGGTCGGAATAACCAAACACTTTACTCTAGGTTGGCAGGAATAACCAATTTAGAGGTTGGCTGGAATAACCAATACCTCTCCTAAGCGCAGGATAAGGATCCAGGCTGCAGGACGTTTGGCCCGAAAAACCAAACACTTTACTCTAGGTTGGCAGGAATAACCAACTTAGAGGTTGGCTGAAAAAATCAACACCCCTCCTAAGCCCAGGATAAGGATCCAGGCTGCAAGACGTTTGGTCGGAATAACCAAACACTTTACTCTAGGTTGGCAGGAATAACCAACTTAGAGGTTGGCTGGAAAAACCAACACCCCTCCTAAGCCCAGTATAAGGATCCAGGCTGTAGGACGTTTGGTCGGAATAACCAAACACCTTACTCTAGGTTGGCAGGAATAACCAACTTAGAGGTTGGCTGGAATAACCAACACCCCTCCTAAGCCCATGATAAGGATCCAGGCTGCAGACGTTTGGTTGGAAAAATCAAATACTTTACTCTAGGCTGGCAAGAATAACCAACTTAGAGGTTGGCTGAAAAAACCAACACTTATTGTTCTTCAACCAAGATAAGGATCTAAGTTGAAGAGGTTGGCTGGAAAAACCAACACTTTTTGTTCTTCAACCGAGATAAGGATCTAAGTTGAAGAAGTTGACTGGAAAAACCAACACTTATCGTTCTTCAACCGAGATAAGGATCTAGGCTAAAGAAGTTGGCAGGTATGGCTAGTTAAATTGCAAAGTTATGACCAAGATAAGGTATCTCGGCCCGAGAATATTATACTTCATTCAGATTACAATTAAAAAGTTACATGCATGGCAGTTAACCGAAATAACAATTGGAACAAAAGAGATTTCATTGATCGTACAAAGTCAAAGTACAAAAGGGGGGACTTCAGCCCGGTTACAGTCTTTCTTTCCAAAAGGCAAAAAAAAAAAGAAAAGTACATAAGTCAAGCAAACAGGTCATCTAAGTCAGCATCTAAAACCACTCGGTCTTTGCCTAGAGGTAGCTCGGTTGTGGCAACCACACTCTGGTTAAGCTCGGTTGGAAGCACAGCATCGGACACAGCTGGCAAAGATGGGATGGAGACCTCTGGAGTTGGGGAGGCAAATTGGAGACCGGGTTGAGTATTGTCTTCTGGAGCTTCATCTTCATCCTCCTCCTCTAGAAATTGTTACTGAATGGTAGCAGCATACTCCGTCAGTGAGCTTGGTATGAAATATAGAGGAGGATTGAAGACCTCGGTCTCAGGTCCATGACCGAGTTGCGCCACAACCCCCTTCCACTCGCATTTAAAGAACAGGTCCTTCGCAGCTTCACACTGCTTGATGTACAGGGCTTCACCTTCTTTGAAACCGCGGTTCTCCGCAACCTCCAGCTTCTTCTCAAGCTTTGTCATTTCGACATTCTTTTTTCCTTCAAGCTTGGCCAGCTCGCGCAGATATTTATCTTTTATCACGGCCGCAACCTTTTGCTTGTCTGCTTCAGCCGAGCCAAGACCGGTCAGACGACCATTCTCGGTTTGTAGCTCGGCTATCTGCTTCCTGGCCTGTTCTAGCTCGGCGGTTTTTTTGGTTACCTTTGCCATTGCCTGCCTTGTTGTTTTGCGAAGTTCCAATACACGCTTGTGAGCGATGTGGTTGTTCTGCATGGCCTGCAAAAAAATAAAAAGAGACTTGTAGTAAAACCGAGCAAAAAGTTGTGCAAATTAGAAAGATAAGCAAAGGAGGTTACTTACCAACACCATTGACTTTGTGGCCGAGCGAATGGCCTTCAGCTCGGTAAGATGGTTGTGGTGCTCCATGTCGGCTGGAAGGCAAGCGCTCTTGGCCAGATTGAATGCCATTAGGTGGTCTTTTTCAGCGACCATTTAATCAGTATCCCGTATGGCACGGTTTTGAAAAATGATCTTTGGAGCCCACTTGGAAGAGCTAGCTCGGTCAAAGCACTCCAGTTGTGGGCTCGGTGGAGGGCTTGGTGGAAGGATGGTATCTTCTTCATCAACAAGGCGTGGCTCGGTTGTGGAAGTCCGAGCACACTTGTTTGGACGAGATGATGAGGGTTGATGGGATGGAAGGGCCACCATGGTCTCCTGAGTCTGACCGGCTGGTGGTACCACGGGCTGGTTTGTTTCGGTCAGAAGGGCCCTTACAGCTCGTTTCTTGGCCATCTCTTGCTCAGCAGTTAGAGGGATCAAATTGATTTAGGGCAAGGTTGGGTCCGGTTCAGGAGAGGCTTCCAACAAAAAGTCAATTACCCTAGTTCTTTCGCTTACTACTGTGTTTGTACGTCGATTCAAAATCCAATAGTTTGGCCCAACTTCTATTGGGATATCGCAGCGCGGCGCGAAGTGTGTTTAAGTTGGGGTAGTTGTACTTGGACTTAAGAAAGTTCAAATTTGCATGAAGAAAAGCAAAACAATCAGTGCAGTTCAACATAAGAAAACCGAGGTAATCCTACCGGCTTCACCCTTGTTCCAATTTATTCTGTCGCCCGGGATCTGGGCTTGTTGGTCCTCAAAATTCCCAGATACCTAGAGGAAATCATCATCGTTAACATCCTTATCCGGGGTACTTTTATTATCTTTTCACGTCAGCGTCTTATTCTTAAATAGTAAACCCAGCCATCTTCATTTGATCCTATGGAGTATTGATGGACGAGCTCGGCTAGACCGAGATTAAGGCCAGCCCGGCGGTTTAGCTCGGCAATGCCGTTTGTTATGCGATAAGAATTGTTGGAAAGTTAGGTAGGGCAAGGGTTTGTTTGTCTGAGGAATTCACACAGAAGGGGTTGTACGGGGAATCTTAGGCCGGTTTCTACAATGGAAAGAAGTGTAAAGGGAACAAAGCTAGGGTTTCCCCAGGGTATGGTACCTAGTTCGGCTAAAGTGAGATGAACATCATTAGGGATATGGTAGTCCCTTCGGAACTCGGCCATAGCACATGGTGAGTTCACTAAAAACCTTTATTTACCCATAGAGATTTAAATGATGTATAAATTAGCCTGGAGTGTTAGCTCGGCGCCAAGCAGATAATGGGTATCTCAGTTGGACGTGCAAAAAAGTGCCTGGGCAACCTAATCAGAGTCTGTAAAGTGAAAAAGAAAGGTGTTAAGCACAAATCGTTGGACCGTGCTAAGAGAAATATAGGCAAGATAAATGAAGTCGTAGCTCGATTACATGGGATGCTATCTAGCCTTAGCTCAGTTTAAGCAAGGTGCTTTAGCCCGGTCGAGCCATTGGGGCAGCATTCTTAGTTCGGTTTGAACTAAGGGAGCTGGCTTAGCCCCCAAGATTAAGCTCGGTCGGAGGTTAAGGCTTTCTAGCATGGTATTGCGTGAACCTAGTACGGTGCGATAGCTCGGTTAAAAGAAACAAAAGGTCCCCAACTTATGGAAACCACAAGTATGGCATAAGTTTTGGTGCGGTTGTTGGTTCTGACTAGGCTTGCATCTATTACAAACTACTTCCTAGTCCGGTTGGAGTATGATTTCAGATCTAAAACGTCCCAGTTCAGTTTTCTCGCAAAATCAGTAGTGATGGGTATCACTCAAGTTGTTCTTACTCGTTACAGAGAAAAACTATTTTGAAAAGTGTTGTGAGGAAACACGTATATACAAATAGTACATATAACCAGTCAAACGGAAAGCAAAAAAGGATTGAGTTACTTACAAATTGAAGGAGGAAGGATGTAGGTCTGAAACCACGAAGGTGATGTTGAAAATACAAGCTTCACAGATGCAATAGTGGTAGCAATGGAGGTTCAAGCAAGGAAAAGAGAGAAGATGAATAGTAGACGTGATAGATTCAAAAGAAGTGGTTCTTGTGTGAAGAAGGAGAAATTGGGCGGGACTGTTCAAATTACGCGAAATATGAAGGCGGCGTGACAGCTACATTGGGCTAATGATAGTATGCCACGTGTCCGTGGAATGGGAAGCGACCCAGTTTTAGTACAATTGAAGAGACATTTTGACCGGACAGGTTGGTAGCACGGTGTGAATTTAGCTCGGTTAGAAAGCTAAAGTTTTTTAGCACGGTTGAAAGGCCAGTCTTTTAGCTCGGCCGGAAACAAGTAATCCCTATTATGCTGCGCAGATGGAATTAAGGGGCAATTGAGAAGGTAATTTATATATAAATTGGGCCGAGTTGGGTAATGGGCCATTTTGTGGACCACAGTAAGAAGGGCTGAGTAAGAAGGGCCTTGTAATTAGTCCGGTCCAGAAGAGCCTTGGTGGTTAGCTCAGTCACCACGGTCGGCACGATGATAGTTAGCTCGGTCTTACTATACTGGGCCAAAGTATGTTGAGTTTTCTTCAGAACCTTGCTGTTGGTTAACTCGGTCCAAACTCGGTGTAATCAGTCCGGTCTCAGACAGCACAGTTGGAATATATCAAACTGAAGTACACGCAGTGAAAGGAAGAACCGAGCTAGTGAGAGCTCGGTCTAGTCTGCGGCTTTAGTATGGTCATGTTATCTCGGTCGTATTGACATCTAACCGTGGTAGAACCATCTCACTTGGTTTAAGCAGTGAGGAGGTGTTGAAGGATAAGCATTATCTTTCTGGAAGGTGATTCCTAAGAGGACTCTACATGGAGGAGTAAGAGTCTTACTTGGATTGTACCACGCGGAACCTATAAAAGTTCACAACATCACCTATGGAGAAGTAACACACAACTTTGATTCTTGAATACACAGAGCTTTTGTCTATTTTGCTGACTTAGGCATCGGAGAGGTATCCGGTACACACCCACCGGCCAGCTCACGTTTGTGTTTTCAGGGAGTAAAACGACGACATTTGGAAGAACGCGGATTTGATCAACAGGATTATACGAGAAGATTATTTCTTTCTCGTACAACAATGATGTGCGCCATTTGGTTAAAAAAAAATTGGCCATCACAAGAACACCATTGCTTGTTTTTATTTTTCAAAAAACACTTTTCAGAAAATTTTACTTTCTTATTTTTTGTATTTTTTTGTTTTTACTGAATTTTTTAAATATTTTAAGCAATTTTTTTACCTTTTAGACACATTTAACATAAATACACCTAAAAAGTAAAAAAATTGTAAAAAAAATCTTTTAAAAATTCACTAGATACCAAAAATACAAAAAAAATGACAAGAATTCAATGCATTTTTTGTATTTTTATGTATTTATTAATTTTTTAAAATATTTTTTTCACAAATTTTTTACTTTTTAGATACATCTAAGTAAGATACATCTAAAAAAGTAAAAAAAATGTTTAAAATTTAAAAAATATTCACTAAAAACAAAAAAAAATACGAAAATCAAAAAAGTCAATTTTCAAATAACTTAATTCAGAAAACTCAAACCAAACACACTGAATTGTAATCAAAAACAATTTGAAAAAAAAAAGAAAGAAAGAAAGAAAGAAATTGATTGTAGACGGAGAGAATCAGAGAATTTGAAACTCGAAAGATTTAGGTTGACATTTTTTTGAATAACTGCATCACCGTGTGTGTTTTTGAATAACTGCATCACCGTGTGTGTGTGTGTGTGTGTGTGAGTGAGTGTGAGAGAGAGAGAGAGAGAGAGAGTGAGTTTACCTTTTTTTCCAGGTCAGGAAACAAGATGAAGTCATTGGAAAGGACAATAAACTACTTTAACTGCATCACCATGTGATTTTCAGCTTTAAAGAAAACTCTGTTGCCCTGCTTGGTCCTAAAATTTTTACAATGTCCTCTGCTTGGCCTATGGACTTAATTCCCATCGAGTGCTAGTAAAATTTTGTAATAATTGCTCGTTACATAACTACAGTGACTCACATTTTGAATGAAAAATGTGATGGCATAAAAACCAGTAATACTCTACAGACTTGTACAAGCCCAAGCAAACCAAACAAAAAAATAAGAGGAACAAAATACTCTACAGACATGTTTGATGACATACCCAACCCCCCAAAAAATGGTTATGAGACTAACTTTAACTGTTTAACAGCTCACCAGCCTTCAATCGCCAACCTTGTCGAGTAGAAGATGGATTTATGCCTTCACCCAACTTCAGTTTGCTTTCATCGGCCTTCTTTCTCTTTCTTGCAGAGCTCAAAGAGCCTTCAACTGGAAAAGGAAAAAAAAAAAAAAATGGAGAGAAATTCAGTTGTCAAAGTTGAAGAAGAGAAAATACAAAGATATAGATAATCCCTATTTCTGTATAATGCCAGCTTTATTTTTTGCCAATTATCCATCTTGTTTGGAGAATATTCTTGAAGATGAATTAGAATGCATATTTGTAACTTGATCCAAATTTCACTTTGATTCCTATTGGTTCAATTTGAACAATTTTAACCCTATAATTTTAGCCCAGTTTTAGTCCTCCCATCTAAATTAGACGTTAAAACTTACGATTTTCTAACACATGTTGGTCACATTAGGAGTACACGTAAGAAAAAATTGACGGTAGTTTGGATGCAAGGACTAAAAAAACTAAACTAAAAGTCTAGGGTTGTCCAAATTGAAACAATAAGGACCAAAATGAAATTTGAGTTAAACTACAAGGGTGAAAATGTAATTTGCCCCCAAAAAAATAGAAGAAACCAACATTGTTCATAACTTGTCCAGGAGAAAAGAAAGCTCATATCTTGAGGCCAGCCACATGAACTAGACCCAAAAAATTATATCACTACTAATAGAGACCTTAAATATGCTGGTTCCAAGTCAACAATGCCTCTCTGCTTCAAGTCTTTCACTCTCTCCCTGGATTTCAGAATGTGGCCCACTAGATTTATACAACAATAATTGGTGAAACTCTCAACATTTCATTTGCTCTTATATGTAAGAAGCAAGGTTCTTTTCCCTCCACTCAATTAAGTTGGGTTAACTCCATTCAGTATTAGAGTATTAGATCACTGTAGCAAGGGCAATATCATCTATATGGCCTAAATATCACATCAAGAAAGAATCAGCCCAGTTAGCAACGCAGTGCATTAGTAAATTATTCAACAGCATAATACCCATTTCATACCTTGCCATTCCCACACCACTTTAGATTCACCCTTCACCAGTTTTGGGTACTGATCTAAACGAGAATCTTCTTGAACCAACTCCTCTACCTACAAAAGAGAGAAAATTATAAATAAAATCTTTAAACATATGATGATTAATGATTAAATATGTCTAAGTAAATAAACTATCAAACCACAGCTTTAATTAAATCAGATAAAAATAAGAAAATATAATGTACAATAATTATAGTAAAATGAAGACAGCAGTGTTTGAACTCAAACAGTTGGCTTCAAAGCTACCTGAATTTTTAACTGGACTTTTGTTTTTACGCCCAAGCAAAAAATGTTAAGTTTATTCAATTTTGAGTTTTTTGAAAAATAAAATCGTGATTAGGATTAGTTAAATCACAATAGGAGTTTCAGGATGTGTTGGAACATTTTTTTTTGGGAATTCCTTTGTTCTCTAATATCATTTTGGTTTAGTTACCTAATTCAAAAGTTCTTAAGAATCAGTTAAGAATCATTTTCTTGGAATGCAATCCAATCCAGCCTATTATTTGTTCAGAAACTATCAATTTTACTCGAATTGTCAAGCTACCCTTGGCTCATAAATTTTTTTATTAGTCAAATATATTAAATAAAGCACCAACTTGGCTCATTTTAATTAATAGACACCAGCATGGTGACCTAAAACTAGCACAAAACAAGTCTCAAAATTAACCCAAATTTGCCAAGATAATGTTTAAGGACACATTAAATTTCTAATTTTCCCTTTTCTTGTTACATTCTACATTAATACCATTTGAAGACATATTACTTAGAAATGCCGAAAAAAAAAGGGCAATAGATCCTAATTGTTGGACTTAATTCCCATCGAGTGCTAGTAAAATCGTCGCTAAAAATAATTTCTTGTGACTATTTTTTTCATATCTCGCTAAAAATTGACAATTAGTGACCTTTTTATCACGATTTTTATAAATTGTGGCTAAAACTTACAATTAATGACGTTTTTCAATGACGAATTTTTCAAACTGTCATTAAAACTTGAAAATTAGCGACTTTTTTTGTGACGATTTTTTAAAAAACTTATAATTAGTGGCATTTTTTTGTGACAAAATTTTCAAACTGTCGCTGAAAATTAACAATTAGTGCTGTTTTTTAATATTGTTTGATGAAAAATACCATTAATTATCATACGACCTATTGGATGATAAGTTCACTTCTTAAAACTTATACGTAAGTCCCCCTAAAAAAAATGCCAAAAAAGTATTGACGGAAGATTGGGTTCATCAAATGAAGCTCCTTTAACGGTAGGGAAGAACTTGTGGAAAAAACCACTTTATTATCCAATTAGAAGGAAGAAAAAACGAGTTGTTCATTTATTTAAATAAATGATGAGGTGCCAAGAAATATGTCAATACCTTTTTCCATAACGTCAAGTCCTTCCTTTCTTTGGGTAACAAAAGATGATCTCGTAACCACGAGGCAACCACCCAAGGTTCACCCTCGCCATTTAAACTCCTTGAAATCAAGGCATGCTCTTCAAGTATGTCGCAAACCTATCACATTTGCATCAGTTCAATTAGTGCAAAAATTCAACAAATCTGATAAACACAATTAAAGGATATGACAATAAGTTTTTTCATCCAACATGAATGCTTAGTGCATTGGTTGTTCAAAGCATCAGCAGTGTCCTAGTTTCCTTGGCCAAGTATTGTGACAATTGAACGGGTCACAATATAATACACAAAAATATGAGTCCAATATGACTTTTAAGAGTCACGAGACTTATGACCCATATTCTTCTTTCTTTTTCCTTTTTTTTTTTCTTTTTTCCCTATTGAAGAGCCAATCTACACATAAACCTGATACGAAAATTTTGTTGTTTATTTTTATTAGTTTCACAAGGAAAAAAGTGCCAAGTAAAACCAACCAAAGAGAAAAATGTCCAAGCTTTTGTTTGTCATGTACTCATAAACCAATAGCTTCTCTTCCAATGGACGACAAATCTGTTCAACACACACACAAGAACAACAATCATCAATAAATAAAAAAAAAAAAAATGTTCATCAATAACAACAATCATCAAGATGGAACTTGTGAATGTAACATATATATATATATATGTAAAGAGAGAGGGGGGGTTGGGCGTTGATTCCTCTATCGACACCGGCACCAGCACCGACGAGTCCATTGATCAAGATGTCAGACCACGATCTGTTCAGATCGGTGGCTTCACGGTTCACGATCTGTTCAGATCGGTGGAGGTGGTGGATCTGGATGATGTTGATGATGATAAGAAGTGAGAGAATGAGAGAGAGAAATCTGAGTGAGTGAGAGAGAGAGATGAGAGACGCGGTGAGACTAAGAGAGATATGAGTGAGTGAGTGAGGGAGAGAGAGATGAGAGACGCAGTGAGACTGAGAGAGAGAGAAAGAGAGAAGTGAAAGTTAGGCCAAGTTTGGCATCCTCCAAAAAAATTCAAAAAGTCAAAAAGTCACTATCCTATTTAAGTCACATCATCTTATTTAAGTCACATCACCTCTCTAACACATCACTTCAAACCCAACCCAAATCCAACCCATATTTCATAAAAAGTCAAAAAGTGTACTTATTTAGTCTTTCCAAACTTGGCCTAAGATGAGGGTTTGGTTTATATATATATAGGGGTAAAATAGTAATTTCACTTCGGGGATAAACAGGGACGGGCAGGGGTACGGGACTGGGACACTTATCCCCGTCCCCGGCCCGAAACTAATCAAGAATTAATTTTTGAATACCATCCCCGCCCCGTTAAGGATATTTTTCGGGGAAAAACCGCTCAAATCGGGGTCGGGGGTCGGATCCCCGTCGGGCCGGGTTCAAATTGCCATTCCTCATCAGTCATCAAAATCCAAGGGGGTTCCTTTCTTGTTGTCCTTAGTAAAACCATTTTCATTCATAACCAAATAAAATCAACAGTATTGTGTCCCATCCTAACTTAAAGCTCAGAATCAATCCATCTAAATAGTTCGTCTTTTCAAGTAACAGGTGGTGAAGTGACTCAGTGGTAAGACTTTGTCTTCAGTTACAGTGTCAACCAAGACATCATAAATTGAAAGAGGTGCCTCTACAAGGACCAAAATCATAGATAAATGTAAAATCGGCCATTGAGAACCTTCTTTTTTTTCTTTTTTTGCCACAGAATGTGCGAGAAAAGAATTTTAAGATAACCTTGTATACCTGGTTGTAAAGCTGCTCAGATCTAGTTGATAGATAACATCTTTGGCGAACTCTCAACAATAACCATGTGCTTCCAATGAGCTGTAAATCTCAATATTGTCAACAAGCTTTGATGTGTGGGTACAATAACATAAGCTTTAAAATGATACTTTTGACATTTAATACCATTACACAGAGTGGCACTAAAATCAAAGCATGTTTAGCAATCCACAGTCGGATGTAACAGGTAATTGGTTTGTAACGTTCGACTAGCAAGTCTGGACACTTGAACTCTTTGTTCCTACATGAGAAAGGAATGAAATGTAAAGTAGAATGCTCCCAACCAAAGGGCCTCGAAAATGTTCTATGAATTTTTTCTAAATGAAGAAACAATAGAGTACCCTTGAATATTTGTCCTTGTCTCCAATAATATATCAACTGCCTCCATTGCTCTTTGCTTGGCATACGCATATATGGGGCCGTCCAAGCCATGATTATCCATCAGCTTGAATTCATCTAAATCCTTCCATAACTTATCCTCCTGAAACTGAAATAAAAGTATATAATTAAATTATAGATATTGATGGAACTTAAGCAACATACAACTCAAAAGCATACACGTATACAACAGCAATAGATGGAACTCAGTTATATACTCCACGAAGTTCAGAGGGTTACGAAGATGACAGACCCAAACTGTCCCAGTTCCTTCGCACAAAAATTGAGCATATGCTCCACAAATACGAGTTTCTACCAATTCTGACTGCAATGCAACATGCAAATTAGAAAAGCACAAAAAATAAAAAAATAATAAATAATAAATCAAGAGTGAATAACGATTTTTTCATCCCAAATGATCAGAGCAATGGAATTGATAACCATAACTACACACAAGTTTCTTAGCTGTTTCATTTATATCCCCATCTTCTACACATAACTTTGCATTCTTTCTATAGCCACGAACACATTCCAACTTGCCTTCAGAACACTCTCCATTACTTGGACAAGGTTCACAGGAATCTGTAATGATGGACATTGGTTAACAGTGTACATTATACAGATATAAGTATTACAATGTTAACTCTTGCAACCACATGTTGTTGCAATACATGGTTCAATTATGAAGATTAAACCAGGAGATTGGCAGAGATCCAGATATTTTCTCAACTGCGTAAGTTAGAACACAATGACAAAAACAGAAACAAGCTTTCACAATAAAAACACCAGAACCACTTTTTCCTCCTAAAAGAAGAGGATAGAAGTTGGAATGCCAATTTACAGCAATCCAGTCCACAATAATATATTAGAGTATGTCAAAAAATTAAGAGCCGCACAGTAGCTTTTTCTCCAACAAATGACCTCTCAGTCATGTTGCTTCCTGTTAAAGCAACTTGGTAACTGAGATTAATCATTCATCAGATTAAGGTTATTCGAGATCAATAAATAATTCCCAAGATGGGAAACCATTGTTCAGAAAATGCAATGGTATGCCAAATAAGTTGTAAGATAACAAAATTATAACCCACTGTGCCCTGGTTGGTGAGGGAGGGTGGATAGATATCAGTACTTTTGTTGCACACAAAATTTTGAGACTAACAATTTACTACCCACAACAATAAAAGGACAACTTGCAGCAGGACAACATAATATATGATAATTTCAGGAGAGAATAAGGTAATTCATGTTCATCTATTTGATCAAGTGTTCAAGCATTACTTTCATTCATCAGAAGGCATGTAAACTGGGCTATATAGCCACTGCTTCTTTGTCTTATAGAGATCTAATGTGAACTTACTTGAATCCACTATATGTTCTCTACACTGGAAAGTGGCAGGACTCTGTTACTTGTGTATCGCAATTATATGTCACCAGTGATAGATGATAATGTTCATTGAATTCATCAATCAGAAAAACATATTTAGGAGCAATTTTGAGATGAAATATTAGAAACTGTTAGAATTAGTGACTTCTAAATCAAAATCAATTGGCAAGTAGTAGAGGGACTTGTAAACTATATTAACCAAACTTGGGTAGGCTATAGGGCTCAGTTGCACGTGGGCATGACAAAGAGATCAAGAGAGAGAAGAAATAGATCCATGGCAGGGAATTGACCAACGAGAGGCCACCTATTAAAAGCATCAAATACATAACCAATTGGCAAAGTGTCGAGAGGCCTCATACTATATTAACCGAACTTGAGTAACTTAAAAGAGGCAACGTGGACAAATCTCTAACACTACCTTACACATGTAAAGTATCCGAGCAACACAACCAGTCAGGGACTATTTGGCATGATCTAAAAAAGCATACCTTTTATCTTTTTATCTTTTCTTAGTCACATCACCTCTCTTCTGCACATCCTTTCGTAAAAAATAAAAAATGTACTTATTTAGGCATCATTTGTCAATTATATATTTTAGTCAAAAAGTCAAAAGTCACTATAACTTAATCACTCTCCCTACTTTTCTGTGTATCATTTTGTAAAAAACCAAAATGTTACTAAAATAGACTATTTCCAAACAAGGCCTTGGATCATTCCAATACCCTCTCTCAGTTAGACTTAATCACACGTTACCAATCTAAACCACCCAAGCTTGGTTAACATGATGCAAATGCCTCTCCACTCCTTGCCAATTGATTTTGAGTTAGATGCTTTAACACAGTTGTGCTTGATAAATAAATGGTGTCACTTTGCTCATAACATTCACACAAATTCTTAATCTAACATTACTCAAACAGTTTCCAATTTAGCTATTCTTTGCTTATACTCCTCAATCGATTCATATGCTATTGTTTTGCATTTTTCAAACGTTTATCCATTGAATTCAAAGCAATAAAAACAAAAACAAAACAAAACAATGCAATTCAAGAGAGCAAGCGAGGGATCACTAACCGGAGAGTGAATAATCGAAATCAGCGTTGGTATCGCAGAACGGTTTAGGATGGCGATTGAGAATGGTGACAGCGTAATTGCAGGCTACGGCGACCGAAGCAGCAATGAAGACGACGGAGACGAGTCTCAAGAACTCGGATTTCGATGGGAATAAGCTCGTCGGTGGTTCGATTAGGAGACTTTGTGAAGAAGAAGAAGAAGAAGAGTTGGGGTTATTGGTGGTGGGTTTGGATTTTCGATTAGGGTTTATTGGGTCTGGTTTTTGCCTCTTTTTGGGAGTGGAAGCCATTGATGATTCATGTACTTTTTTTCAGGTTTAGTTATTCGTAGAGCAGGAAATGGAAGGAAGGAAAGTCGTGCGGACGAAGCAAGGGTCCATTGCATGTGTCGCATCTTTCGGCGCGGGTCTGACCCCTTTTTATATTTCATTTTGCATTTAATTAGGGCATAATCCGAAAAAAATCGCAATACGAACCGATCTAGTAGGCTGTTTTTTATTCAGTTGTTTGGTTTTTTATTGAAAATTTAAGAATTTATTTTTTTAGGTCGATTTTAGATTTGAGTTTATAATTTCATATTAGAATCAATTTGGATGGTATGTAACTTAAACTATATGCATACTCTATAATTCTACTCTCTTTATATATCATGTTTATGTTTGTTTAAGTTTTTTTCTTAAGATTTGATAGGTTTGTTTAAGTTAATGGTGGAACAATATACATTTTATATTTGAAAAAATATGAGCAGATTAATGATGAAATACAAATATTATATGATTTTTATTTGTGAACAGATTATATGAAATCATAGTTTCTAAATCAAATCGAATCTTGTTTAAATAAATTCATGATTTAAATTGATTAGTTTGTATCAAATTTCTATGGAATCATAAACAACGAATTTATCTTGATTTTATCCTAAATTAAACCAATTTGAACCATGCTCACCCTTAATTTTGACTAAGAAAAAATGCGAATCAGTTCAAAATTTGAAAGTTAATTATAAAATAAATATTAAATAATTAATAATTAAAAGAAAAAATTATATCTAAGTACTTTTTAAAAATTACCTCTTATTGGTAATTTCCCTTCTTAATTATTGAGTTTAGAGGGAATTCGTAAATAAATAGAAAAAAATAAATAAATAAAATAGTGTAAATAGTTTGGAAATATTCATGATTTAAATTGATTAGTTTGTATCAAATTTTTATGGAATCATAAACAATAAATTTATCTTGATTTTATCCTAAATTAAACCAATTTGAACCATACTCACCCTTAATTTTGACTAAGAAAAAATGCGAATCAGTTCAAAATTTGAAAGTTAATTATAAAATAAATATTAAATTATTAATAATTAAAAGAAAAAATTATATCTAAGTACTTTTTAAAAATTACCTCTTATTGGTAATTTCCCTTCTTAATTATTGAGTTTAGAGGGAATTCGTAAATAAATAGAAAAAAATAAATAAATAAAATAGTGTAAATAGTTTGGAAATAAAATATGTAGTAATTACAAAATCGCAATTGTATGTAAGTGGAAACCAAACCTTCTACTATCCATCCATCCTCATTTTTTTTCCAAATTCACATCATTATTCAGGTTGAGCTTGGCATCTCCCCAAAAAGACAATAAGTCAAAAAGTTACTCAAAAAATTAAAAAAATATCACTATTCATCAAAAAAAATATTAAAAAATTAATTTTCCAAACAGAAGTACAACTTAGCAATCATGTATGATCAACGCTGTGCAGCGTTTGTTAAGAAAAATTGCACAGTTTTGGTGTAATTTTCACACACTGTTGTTCGGCCCATGGGAGCCCATCATGGGTCCCGTTTTGATAATCTGAACTGGTCAATGTGTAGAACTCGTCGAGTATTATATTTCTGTAAAAAATCACATTGATCGGATATCGATAACTACATAATCAAATTAGTTTTGTATAAAAAAAATTTGATGATGTTATAATTAACGATTGAAAAAAAACAAATCTAATCAGATAGCTATCGATATCCGATCAACGTGATTTTTTATTAGCATATAGTACTCGACAAGTTCTACACATTGAATAGTTCAGATTATCAAAATAGGACCCGTGATGGCCCCTACGGGCCGAACAAAACCGTCCAGTACAATGTCCGAAAAATAGCCAATAATTTATTACCATCAATTCGGTTGTGCAGATTGTATGGTTGTACAACACACATCTGTAATCTTCTCACACATACTAATTTATACAATTTTTTAATATATATTTTTCATAAGAAAAGTCAAAAAGTTAACCCAAATATTCATATTTTTTTCCTCAACTTTTTAGTCTAAAAAGACAAAAAATGCACTTATTTAGTGTATAAGGGAAAATTACGATTGAGAGTTGTGCAGCCGTACTTTTTGACTTTTTGTGAATAGTGATAACTTTTTGAGTTACTTTTTAACTTTTTAAATTTTTTTCAACTTGGCAAACTTAATCTTAATTGATGCACAATTAAACATTTGATTTTTTATTTTTTTTAACTTACCTCTTGGTACTTAATTCTCGTAAAATCATTATTTACACCCTACAAACTTGAATCCTACCCAATCAATAATCATCTCTCATTGTCATTGCCATTGACTATCATTGGCTTCGTTTGGGAAGTGACTATTTTTAGACTTTTTGACTATTTAGCTATTTTAGTTTGTGTGTTTAGAAAGATGGATTGAAATATTTTTAAATGATTGTATTGGAAAAAAATGTTTGATATGATGTTTTATTATTAAATAACCAAATTGCCCCTACATAACCAAGCTGCCAGCCGTTGAACTCCACAGAGGCGTTGGCTGACATGGGATGTACGGTCTGCACGTCAGTCCTTTTTTTTTCAAAGCTGAATTGTAATTGAATAAAAAGGATTCAGCTTGTTTGGTTTCGTTTTTCTGAAAACAATTTTCAGAAAATTCTACTTTCTTATTTTCCGTATTTTTTTGTTTTTATTGATTTTTGTTAATATTTTAAGCAAATTTTTTTTAATTCTTAGACACACTTAACATAAATACACATAAAAAGTATAATTTTTATGAAAAGATCTTTTAAAAATTCAATAAATACCAAAAATACCAAAAATACAAAAAAAAATGAAAATTTAGCATGTTTTTCGTATTTTTATGTATTTGTTAATTTTTTAAAATATTTTTTCACAATTTTTTTACTTTTCAGATACATCTAAATAAGGTACATCTAGAAAATAAAAAAAAATACTTAGAATTTTAAAAATATTCACTAAAAACAAAAAAATACGAAAAATAAAAAATAAAAAGTTCAGTTTTCAAAAAACTTAATTCAGAAAACTCAAACAAACACACTGATTGTAATTTTAATTGAAAAAAAAAATAAACAAACCTTCAGCCATTGTCATTTAATTGAAAAAAAAAAGGATTGTAATTTTAATTGAAAAAATAAATAAACAAACCTGAGTAACAAAAAAATAAAAAGGATTGTCATTTATTTTAATTGAATTGTAATTTTTAAGGGCTCTTTTTTGATAAATCTTATTTGTAACTGTTTTATTTCATAAAACCCAAACTATTTCTGAATATTCCATTAGGTCCATTAATTATAAAAGGACGAAATACCCTTCATCCGCCTCTCCCGCATGTAACCGATTCTGCCAAAACCCATTCCCATTCAAACTATTCAATCCACAAAATTTCCAAAACAAAAACTGAATCACGAAACTAGATTCACATCGCCTCCAGTAACCCTAGATTCACATCGCCTCACCAACGTCGTCGTCGTCGTCCACCGTCCACCGTCGACCCAAGATTCCTCTTCATCTCACCGCTGCGAAGGTTCACATCGGAAGGAGGGTGCTTCTTCGTCGTTGGATTTAGTTTATTTCATCCACTGAGAGTGACCATACCTACCCACCATAAGTAACAAAAGTAAGCAATACCATTCCCCCTTCTGCTTTTCAATCATAATGTGATCACCGATGTATACATCCACCTTCTGGTTTTCGGATTTGAATTTGTAAACATAAATGTTTTCGGAATTGATTTTGTAAACACAGATGATGTGAACATTCCCATTAATGTTGATTACTGGGTAAACTTACATTAGTAGACACTGATGTGAACATTCACATCAGTGTATAATGATGCGAACATTCCCATTAGTGTTGATTACTGGGTGAACTTACATTAATAGACACTGATGTGAACATTCACAATAGTGTATAATGATGTGAATGTTCACATTACTATCACTGTTGATATTGTTGATTGTTGATGTCCACAGAACCCCAAACTTCACTCGACAATGTGATGGAATATGATGTAAATATTCACATTGTGACATCAATGTCAGACTTGTTTGTGTTGTTTGGTGCTGTTGGTTCCACCCTTTGATTTTCAGCCAATGATACCATAATGTGATCACCCATATAAACATTTACATTGCCCTGTAACTATTGTCGTTTTCGTAATTGATTTTGTAAACACAGATGATGTGAACATTCACATTAATGTTGATTACTGGGTAAACTTACATTACTAGACACTAATGTGAACATTCACATCAGTGTATAACGATGTGAATGTTCACATTACTGTCATTGTTGATATTGTTGATTGTTGATGTCCACAGAACCCCCAATCTTCACTCAACAATGTGATGGAATATGATGTAAATATTCACATTGTCACACTTGTTTGTGACTTGTTTGTGTTGTTGGGTGTTGTTTGGTGCTGTTGGTTCCACCCTTTGATTTTCAGCCAATGATAACATAATGTGATCACCTATTTAAACATTTACATTGCCCTATAACTTTTTTAATTTTCGGAATTGATTTTGCAAACATAGTTGTCACATCAATGTCACACTTGTTTGTGTTGTTGGGTATTATTTGGTGCTGTTAGTTCCACCCTTTGATTTTCAGCCAATGATACCATAATGTGATCACCCATGTAAACATTTAACTTTTGTTGTTTTCGTAATTGATTTTGTAAACACAGATGATGTGAACATTCACATTAGTGTTGATTACTGGGTAAACTTACATTACTAAACACTGATGTGAACATTCACATTAGTGTATAACGATGTGAATGTTCACATTACTGTCACTGTTGATATTGTTGATTGTTGATGACCACAGACCCCCCAATCTTCACTCAATAATGTGATGGAATATGATGTAAATATTCACATTGTCACATCAATGTCATACTTGTTTGTGTTGTTGGGTGTTGTTTGGTGCTGTTGGTTCCACCCTTTGATTTTTAGCCAATGATAACATAATGTGATCACCTATTTAAACATTTACATTGCCCTATAACTTTTTTAATTTTCGGAATTGATTTTGCAAACATAGATGATGTGAACATTCACAGTACTATATTGGGTAAACTAAAATTAGTATACACTGATGTGAATA